GCAGCATTACAAATCAAAAGTTACAATACTTGGGAACAAAGGATACAAGAAGCAACCCAAGATGACAGAACTACAAATTATGAAGCAAGAGAACCACTCAGAGATGGACTCTTATATCATGAAGGACAAATCTATGTACTGCAGAAGTTACAAAAAGAATTGGTTAAAGAAATACACAAGGAACCAATGAGCAGACATCCAGAAATTGCAAAGACAGTTGCACAAATTACAGCAAACTACTACATACCAGGTGTATGGAAGTTAGTCAAGGAAATAATCAGAGGATGCCATGTTTGCAACCAGGACAAGAAAAGTAGACATAAGCCATATAGGAATTTGAAGAATCCAGAAGTACCACATCAGCCATGGAAATCAGTCATGATGGACTTCATCATGGATCTACCAGAATCAACAGACCTAGTTACAGGACAAAAGTACAATGCATTACTTGTAATTGTAGAACAACTTACAAAATACACATATTTCATCCCAACAACAAAGGAAGCTATGGCAGAACAAATGGCATACCTGGTACTACAGACAGTAATAGCAAATCATTAGTTACCAAAGGAATTTATTACCAACAAAGACAAGCTATTTACATCAAGATTCTAGAGAACAATGATAACAAATTTGGGAGTAGAGCACAAGATGTCAACTACAGCTCACCTACAAACAGACAAACAAACCAAACAAATTAACTAGATTGTTGAACAGTATTTATGACACTATATCAGCTATCAACAAGACAATTGGGTACCATTGTTACCAGTTGCTTAGTACACATATAATAGTGCAAAACAGGATACTACCAGAATGTCACCATTTCAGGCAAATTATGGATATGATCCAGTGGTTCAAAGAACAGAAATCAAAAATGACAGTACATCACTACAAGGAATACAATACAGCCAAGGAATCAAGGAACTCCATGAGTCACTACAACAAGAAATCAAGTTCAGAAACCAGAAAATGTAGGAATATGCCAATCAAGGAAGATTGAATGGGCCAATCTTTAAGGAGGGGGGTAAAGTTTACCTACTCCATAGAAACTTGAAATCCAAGAGACTGAACAAGAAGTTGGACTATGTCAAGGCAGGACCTTTTGAAATCAAGAAACAAGTCAATGAAGTAACATATTGATTATGACTACCTAAAGGAACATGAATACACCCAACATTTCATGTCTCACTACTAGAACCAGCACTGGAAAGTATACCACTTGCAAAGAAACTAGACATTTCATCTGAAGATAAAGAGTATGACATCAAAGAAATTCTAGATGTAAAGAAAGAAGGTCAGCAATGGAAATACTATGTCAAATGGCTTGACTACAGGGAAGAATTAAATTCATGGGAACCACAAACCAATTTGAATTGCCTTGAGAAGATTGCTGAATACCACTGACAACACCTGAGGGAGAAGAAATCAGAAGATTCAAGAGGGACCAATTGATTGAGGAAGGATCAACAAAAAGCTTGGAAGAAGCCTGGGGATCAGAGGATTGCTTCAGTTGTTCAACCTCTTCTATGGAAGCCAACTCACAATCAAATAGTTCCTTCTTACAAGAAGACAATTTGCCTAGTTGCTTACAAAGGCATAACTGATGAGCAGCAAGCTCAGAAGTCTGTTCTTCAACAAGCTCAAGTTGGGACTCAAGCTTGTAGCACTCTTCCCATAAACAATCCCATTCATGGGCAGAAACAACAAGATTACACAAAGAATTGTGAGAAATGCACTCAGAACAGTGACTAGAATCCAAGGAAATTAAACAATGATGGTTGTTATAATGACAGGCAGAACAGGGAGTTGGCATCTCACAACCCAAACAACTCATTTTAGAAGCAAGGATGTAATGATGCTTAGAAGAAGATTCAGCTTTTGGCATGATGGAGGTAAACAAGTTGAAGAAACAGAAAACATGGAAGGAGGGGAGCCTTACCCTTATAAGGAAAAACCCAGTGGTCATGGAATCAGCCTTTCAAGTCAAAAGGATGAAAAGGGAGGACCTAATGTAATGATGGTTACAAGGGTTAGTAATGGATGGCACAGGGCTACTTATGAAGTGCAGAGGCACAGTACATTGATGCTATTACAGGGCAAGGGGTCACATGACAATAAGATAAGGAAGTGGAGATTAGTGGCAGAATAAAGTGATCAGTAGTGATTAGGGGTGATTAGTACTAATCATAGCTGATCAGCACTAATCAACAAACAGGACCACCAGAATAGATTGTTATATAAGGAGGATGGTTTTCCTATGTAGCTAGAATTGTTTTGTGTAGTTCTTGATGTTATTGTTTTAGCATTACTGCTTTACAGTATTTGGTTATCAGTATTCAGATACAAGTATGATGACAATCTTATTGTTTACTTTATCAACCAGACCTGAATTATCATATCATCTTATATCACTTCTATCACTAAATAATATTGCAAGACACTATATTACTAGGTGAGAACCCTTGATGTACTGACAGGGAACTATCTAGGAAGATACAACCTGACACCTATCTGTAGGTATCACCATAACAGAAGGCTCATGTTGACCACAACTTAGATTGAGTTCTTTTACATCTATGGCTTAGTCAAGGCCAAATCAGTACTCAAGTAGTTAGAGAAACCTAATTTCTTGTAGTAGTAGATGAAGGTAGTAAAGCAGAAAAATGCTAAGTATAAAGTCCTAGAGGAGTTAGATTGAATGAAAATCCTAGTACAGATCTATAGAAAGTCACCAAAGATAAAGTGCCTGCTAAAATTAGTTAGTAAAATTACAATCTAGGAGTAGTACAAAATGATCATTTGAGTTGTATACCTAGCCTAGCAACTCTTGATCTTTAAGGTACTACAATTACTCAAGGTAGATGCCTAAATCTTTAGATCTTACCTAAATTATGTTAAGTAGGGCAAACTAATTGATGAATTTATAACTAATTGTGAGAGAGTCAAAATCCTTATATGTTCATATACTATAAACAGCTGCAGACTTAACCTACATCATCTTTGTTACACTATGGTCTTGTTTGACCTACTACTATCTTACCATCTTGGTATACAAGTAATTAGCTATATTCAATGTATTGGACAAGAGTTCCTAGTCAAAGTTACTAAGCTCTACATTAAAGATACCTTTAATGATGAAGTCATGATGAAGAATCTAATCAAAGTAATTTTGTTAGTCATGGCCAAGCTAAACTTAGAGTACTTTTGTAGTGACTAGCTCAAACTAGTTAAAAATCTAGACAAGGATGCTAAAATTAATGTTGGCAAGTAGTTCATCAAGAGGAATGGTAAACTACAGAGGTAGAATAGTGGTATTGATGCTCTAGCAAATGTTTGTAGGCTACTAACTATAGAGGAGCTCATTTAGCACATTATTACTGCCAACTATAGTACTAGATTGAATCATGAGGGGAGATTGGACTAGGAAATCTTCTTGAATTATAAAGAGAGTAAGCAAGCAAAAGAAGAAGAAGAAAGGGAAGATGAGGAGGATGGTTTTCATGGAAATCTTAATGAAGATGGTATTTCTAAATGACCTATCTAGATGTTCTCTCTATAACAAGCTTTACTCAAGATCAAGAGTAAAGCCTATTACAAAGGGTGCTCTATGCTAGAGGGGTAAGTGTATTTGCAAGAAAGTTAATCTAGGGCTGTTTTTTTTTTCTTTGTTTTATTTTGTAGTCAAGATTAGATAGAAAGAAATAGATAATCTTATAACCTACACAATTTAAAGAATTTAGGTTTAGCAAATGTATTTAACAGGTTCTTGGTTAGATTAATAGTAAATTCATTAGTTATTATGATTCTAAGCTCATTGTTCAAGACATTAATTGAGTTAGGTAAAAGTAGAAGTAGTGCCTATGTAATACATAGTATATATACCCTCTAGGAGAAAAGTTAAAGGACATTAATAACAAATAGTTTATTTCCTCATTTTCATTTCCTAAAATGCCTCAAACATAGCTTCTTGAAACATAGATTAGGATCAACTTGTAGTCTAGTCTGTCCCTAGAGCATAATAGTCCTAGTTTCACTATTCTACTCTATATTAGTATACAACACTTAGTAGTGAGGAGGTAGTCAAGGATTCAGAAACCAGTAATGCTGTGTAGCATAAAGATGATTTAGAGCATTCCCTGCATATAGCTAACCTTGTTAATTCTTCAGGTCTTATGACTAAAATTAAGCAAAATATACTATTTGCTAACTATATATATGATCTAGAAGAAGACAAGAATAGTAACAAGGAGATGCAAGAAGATATTGACAGGAATACTAGTAAAGTTATACATCTAGGTAATTATACACTAGGCCAGAATGGTGAACTACTATAGTTTTAAATGGCTTTAGCTCTTTGGACAAAACATTATAACTACTTTAAGAAGTAGTATACAAGACTTCAAGAGGTCCTTGATTTGCTAAGTTTTCTTACAAATGAATATACTAAATTGCCTAAATGACTAGATACTCTAAAGCTATAACTTTAACATCACTTGCCATTGCTTTGCCTAAGAAAAAAGATGGTACTAGTTACTATAGAGAAGGAGATATTCTTGCTATTAAATTCAAAAGAGCCATGTTAAATTGAATGTTACTTATAGATCTACTAGTATAATCTAGTAAATTTAGTATGTTTTATACTCTCCTCTACATCCATAGTGTATAAGATATATTTTGGTATGGCTAAGTAATTAAATTCTTTAATAAAGCTATGGAATGCACCTTGCTAAAGCTCTTCTCTAAGGGCATGTTCTAGGAACTATGCTTATGATAATAAGGGTAAGGTCATTGTTCCAGGTAGTATTGTACAGATGGATCTAGTAAATGAATATACCAAGGAATATTTTATTTTCTTTGGCTAGGATTTTTAAAGTACTGTAGAATCTCCTAAGAGTGTTGTTATATAGTTACAAGCTGTCATTTGGCTGTACCTCTAACAGTCAGGCTTTCATCTTAGCCATATTTGCAATCTAGCTGAAATTGATAGACATAAACTTTTAATCCTTGAAGATTACATTCTTGAGGCCCTACTACATTCTATACATAGTATACTACTTGTATTCCTAGACCAGGCTTACAACCCTGAGGTGGTCAAAGCTGAAAATGACAGTAATGAAGACTATATGTGCTAAGTATACAGCAGAAGGAGAGACAAGATTCAACCACTATTCAGAATGTACTTGACAAGAGCAGAGCTAGAACTAAAAACCTTTAGCAAAAGCTAGCTTTATTAATTATAATAATTTCCACAGCTAAATCTACTACTATTGACCTTCATTGACAATTTTGGCATTCACTACAACATGTATCATGCTTTCAAAGCATTTTATTAGATTCTAGTAAATCTACTATACCTTGAACATTACAACATAGTTAATATATATACCCTATGTTTAGGTCTACATGATGTATCTATAGAGACCTCTATAGTAGCCTTCATGAAGGCTATTACAGGGCTTGACTATGGGATGGTCATGAACATCACTAGCAAAGAAAAATTTATGTTTGCATTTACATTAGCATTTATTAGTAACATACTCTAGCAGGCAGACAATAAAGGTTTTCTGCATTAGACAGCCAGGTAGAGATATAGAAGCTACCTATGTACTAACAAAGATTGTCAAGATATAAGTTTTAATACAGTAAATAATGGACACTATTACTACACTGTTACTAAGTAGTGAGAATCAGCTATGTTAATGGAAAGGATAGCAAAATAGCATTATCTTCAAAACCTTGGCTTACATCCTAACCTACTTATAGTAACAAAGCTTGTTCTAGCCTTGGATCTCATCATGGAGTGATCTTACAATATGCTCTATTCCAAATAATAAGGAGTAGAAAGGCTGTTACAAGAGCTACTCTTTTTAGCATTATTTACCAAGTAAGGTGGGCTAACTTACAACCATACCTTTTAGTCATTTCCTTTCCTAGCAGGATGGCCTTGCATTTAAAGCTCATTGTACTATCTAAACTCCTGGTCACTTTCTAAGACAGTACATGCCATAATATTAACACCTTTAATCCTATATACCTATGCATCTCTTAATTGGTTTAGATATGATTACCTGCAAGTAGTAGAACAAGATTCATTCTTCTATACCTACCTATCTCCTGCAGCAGAGATTATTACTACTTATGCCATTATTACTAAGAGCATAAGCTTGATAAGCTTGCAACAATACACTAATCCTGATCACCTCCATTAATACATTCTGTACACTCATTGTACATTTCAAGCATTAGTTAGATGTACACATAATGCTACAAGATCTAACTATCACTACCTTAACAACAATGATACTGAAGATGATGAAGGCTGGCACAGGAGTCTTAAAACTGTCATTGATGAGGCCATAGAGGATGAGGCTTACAATGGACAAACAGCTAAAGCATATATATAGAAAAGTTTCAAATTCTTACATTTAATTAGCCTACCAAATATTCATGTTGATGTTTATTTAGCAGCCTTTGCTTGTGAGTATGGTACCCTCATGAACATCAATGTACTTGCTAGAGAATTCAAGTACATGTACTTTAAACAACTTGCTAATAAAGCTTCTCCATCAAACTTAATGGGATATATATTTGCCAAAGACATTCTCAAGCAGTCTCTCCATCTTGGCCTGGCTGGTGTATAGAATTTTTTGCATCCAGATCTGACTGAAGTATTTGAATTACTGAAAATATTATGTCTATTGCTCTTGAATGGCTTTCTTCCTGTGGTAGACCATCTGTATAGAAATAAGCCTACAGGCTTTTTCTCTCCTTTACTGGATGATACTTATTATATCTCTGTCTGTTTAGCCTACCAAGGGTTTGCTATGGATCATGACAATGCATTTAACCTTATAGCTCAAACTAGGTTATCATGTCTTTCTCACACTAGTCTATTTATACAGCAGCTGGCAGAGGCCTTTGCCTGGAACTATGGTATCCAACACATTGTAAGACATGATGGACAGCTTCTGAAGTAGTATGGCTAGATAAATTATACTAATTCTACAACAAATCAACAATACATGATGAATATCAGAGACAATTTTCTCCTGGCAGGATCCAAGTGTTGACTGTAGCAGATATTTACATGCTATTACCATTCAAGTATATACTACTTCTTGATTGGCTCATTGATCAACCCTATGTATAGATTGTTAAGTGAACCATTAATTAACAATTTGTTACAGCTATCAATTTATTATCTATTAGCAAATTTGTTAATCATTGGCCTCCCTGCAGCTAATTGCTGTCATTTATATCTTGTTCCTATACCATCTAGCAGAATACTAGAGAAGGTTAATACTGAATTATTATTAGATAGTAATTTTCTATTAGAATGTCAATGGACTGTTGATTTTCTTTAAATAGTTACTGGTTTTTATATTAAAAATATATATATTATATATACAATTTTATATAATAATGTATTTTATTTAATTAAATAATTTTTTAATTACTTTTTACATTTATTTTTTTAAATATTCTAATATTCAATAGATAATTATTTTTTTAATTAAATATTAAAAGATATATACTGTTAAAATTTAATAATGATAAAAAACTATTTTCAACCTTGTAATAATATTGGTTGCAACTTGTAGAAATAGTTTTCTACTATAAAAATTTTATTAAATTTTTATTAAAAATTTTTAATTTATTATAGTTTAAATAATCTCTAGAAAAGCACTTAATTAGTTGTTAGTTTTGTTTAACTATCATTTGGATTTTTTCCTTTATAGTGGTATTGGTAGCTTGATATTTTCTCTTTTTTAAGTATAGCTATCTTGGTTTTGAAGTTGGAGATTCTTGTAGTACTTGGATTAGAGAATCTATATCTAGCTCTTTCTCAATTGGTTTGATAGTTGAAGCCATCTTGACTAAAGTATTTTCAATCAAAGCAATGGAAGATGGTAGTGAAGATGGAAAGTTTGTTGTAGGTGTTCAACTCATATCCTTTTAAAGAGCAAGTCTTGCCTTCAAACTTACTCTTTGCTACCTCCTTGAATTACTCTTTCAAGAAGTAAGACTTTACTTATAGGTATCTTCCAAGCCTTACTCCTTGCTACCAAGATTATACTTACTCTTCTTCACTAAATTATAGTATAAACCAAGTCTAGTCTATATTTAATCTAGTGGAAATCCAGTCCAGGTTTTGGTCTATAATCTACCTTTTATAACTAGGTATAACTCTCTCAGGTCTTGATTATCAAGGTTGCCAAGAGTTTACTATTCTAGATATAAAAAGGTCTAGCCAAGATTAATATCCCTCTTCTTCTAAAAGCAAAAAAACTTGTTTCTTACTTTTAGAGTTTTACCTAGCTAGTAGGGATTAAAAAAGTTTCCTTAAATAGTAGTTTAAAGAGTGCTAAATTAATTTTTTAGCTACTAGCTATACTCTATAAAGGCTCTTGCTCTTTACAAAATACTAGGTATATTAGGTCTTTAAGGAAAGAGGCCTCTAATACAGCTAAAAGCTAGGATAAAACACTAAAGTATAGTGTTTTTAGAGCCTAATTTTGTATCCTTGGTTCTTGGTATATATATATTTTTTTTTGAAAATAAAGTAAATAATCAATAATAGATACAAATGAGAAACTTACTCTTTCCAGGATCTACAAAGACAGTTTGTTTCAGGTCCTAGGAGGTATAAAACTAAATACAAAGATAGTTCAAAAACAAAAGAAAATCCAGGTCCAGGTCCAGGTCCAGGGAGGTAATACAAAACCAAATACAAATTTTTATCAAAACTTAATAATGCAATTTATACAAATGAAATTGGCAAAGAATTAGTGGTGTTATGAGGAGAAATCACCTGACTTCTAGTATAAAGCACTCTGAAGAGAATGTCTTATAACTAGGCAACCAGGAGGTCCACCCACACAAATAATGATGGAAAATGGAGTGTAAAGCAGATAAAATCAAAAATAACTTGCAGAAATGGAATTGACAAAGGATTGGTGATGTTATGAGAGGGAAGGTATTTTGTAACACAAAAAATATAGAAACTTTAACACTTAATAACTCAACAACAAACAATGATAATAACAAAATTCAAAATGAAATACAGTACTTTTATATGCAAAAAATAGTTAACAAGTTTTAAAGAAGATTTAACAAGAATTGATAGAGTTGCAGGGGGGGTGAAAATTTTTCACTTAGTAGTATAGTACTTAGTACCTAGAATTTAGGATGCAAAAGAACCACAACCACTAGTGATTTTTTTGTGAATTTTGGATAAATTAAATAAAATAGATAAATAAACATATAAAACAAGTTTGAAGTAAATAAAATAAGATTTGATTGAATAGTGAGGGAAGAAACCTTTCTTTTCTTGTCTCCAAATTAAAAAAAATTTCAAACTCTTATAACTCTATCAATTTTAACTCAATTAGAGTCAATCAAGATGGAATTAAGAGCCTGAAAAGTTTTCTTTAATTTAAATCAATTTGTACTTGATTTGAAGTCTTATTGGTGGAGATAGAGGAGGAGGGGGTTATTTTAATTCAAGTAGTGTTTACATTATATTAAATATAAAATTAGTACTTTTTATCAAACTCAAGAACATGGCAAGACAGATATTTTTAGCAATACTTTTAAGCATAGATTGTGTCTCACTAGTAGAAGCAGTCTTTTCTGGTATAAAGTCAAGTTACAAGACTTTCAAATGTACTGTATCTTGTATAAAATCTTAATTTAAGATCTAGAAGTACTAGACCCTCTCTTACTATAATGCATTTATAAATTAGTAAGTTGATGTAAAATCTACTAAGTTAAAGTTATCTAAAAACTTTAAGTTTGTTTACAATACTTTAAATAATAATTTTCAACTACATTAGCTCAAAAATATATTTTAGTAGATTAAAGAAGAGGTAACTTTCAATAAAATTATACTACTAGACCTGGAATTTTTTAAATACAAGTTGCCATCTAAACTTTTAGATTTTTTATTATTACTAACTTGTAGTATCTAGTTGCTTTTATTATCTTTATCATATATTACTGCTTGACATCACTACATTAGTAGCAACATACTACTAGACAATACATTAACTTTTTAGATCCTTAACTAGCCAAGTATAATCATGTATATTTCCTTACTGTTTTTAATACTTTTAGGTATAAAAAAAAGTTCTACAATATAGTTACTACAAGTAATTTCTTGCTTTGAAAGCAGTTCATTAAATTAAATAGAAAATAGCAATTAGTTAATTTAAATAAGAATTTAGATACTATTTTATTTTTTACTATCTTTAGAGAGACAGCAAAAAGAAAATATATATTGATAGACAGTAAAAATAAAACAAACTACAAAGACAAAATAGAAAAAAATAATAATAAGCTTTTGACACTATCAATGTTAGATGATTATAAACTTAAATCTCTTAATATAATGTTTTAAACTATACATTTTCTTATTACTCTTTATAGTATAAATTACTTTCATGATACTCTTATATACTGCTTTTTTTAATACTATAAATACTCTAGCTATCTTGCTTTGAAATATAATTTTAATACTAAAAATTTATGTCTATTATTATTTATCTTTAAATTATTATTTTTTAAATTTAAACTTTAGTTTTTTCAAAATTTTACATAAATTAAAAACTAAAAATAATTTAAAAACTAGAAATAATAAAAATAATATAATAAAAATTATTATTTATAATTATATAAATTAATAGAATTTAAAATAGTTAAAAACCAAAAAGTATAATTTTAAATTTATAATATATTTTTAAATTAATTTAATTCATTATTTATAAATATTAAATTTTGAAACTAAAAACTAAAAATAAAATATAATAATTTTTTTATTTATTTAATTAATATTAATATATAAATTATTAATATATATAAAGTTCAAAATTTAAGATAGATAAAAATTTTAATAAATTTTAAAAATTATTTAATATTTTAAATTATAATTTAAATTTAGAATTTAAAATAAAAATAAATTTATAATAGTTTAAATAATAACTATACAAGCATTTAAGTAGTAAGTTTAGGAGTAGAGTACAAAATGTTAACAATAGCTTATTTATAAATAGACAGACAAATCAAAAGAATTAACTAAATTATTAAATAGTATCTATAGTACTACATTAGTTATAAATAAGACAATTGAGTACTATTGTTACTAGTTGCCTAATATATATATAATAGTACAAAACAAGATACTATTAGAATGTTACTATTTTAAGCAAATTATAAATATAATCTAATAGTTTAAAGAATAGAAATCAAAAGCAATAATACATTACTACAAGAATTACAATATAGCCAAGAAATCAAGAAACTTCATGAGTTACTACAATAAAAAATCAAGTTTAAAAACCAGAAAATGCAAGAGTATATCAATCAAAAAAGATTAAACAAACCAATTTTTAAGAAGGAGAGTAAAGTTTACCTACTCTATAAAAACTTGAAATTCAAGAGATTAAACAAA